GTAGGACATAATTGCTTCTATTAATCTTTCTCCGGTTGTTAATTGCTCACTTATCGGGTTGTGTATTATGCCGACTGTTGCTCTTAATTCGCCTCCATAGCTGCAGGTGTTTGCTGCCTTATTAACTGTTAATCGGCGCGGCTAGGGATAGAGGCTTAATTGGCCCCTAGAGTGGGACACAGGCGGGCCAGCCGGGCACTGCCAGGCTCTCAGCCTGTCCCTGGAACTCTCACCTGTGGAGCACAGGTGGCTACAGGGAAAGGGCTGGCCTACTGCCAGCAGAGTAGTCCTATATACAGCAGTCAGAATGACAACTACAAAGTGTCATCCCTAAATAGTCCTTCCTCCTCCCAGAAGCCAACTGACCAATCAGAGCCAAGCTCCTATGCCTTTCTTCATCACCAGCAACCATATTCTATCCCAAACAAGGAGCAATCCCATTCGCTTTAATTAAGCCTAATGAGAGTTATCCCCAGCACAGAATGGAACTGGGTTTTGCCCTTTAATGCCTCTTCTGCCTCCTTGTGGCTCTAGCAGTCAAGGCTGTTAAAGTTAGATGGACACTGTGAGAAAGGCAAGAAAGAGAGCCTCTACCAGAACATGAAGGGCAGAAACAGAAGGGGAACAACTCCCCACCTTCCAAGGAGGCGGCTTCCAGGAGTTTCTGTTCCATTCCAGCCACAGTTCTGCTTGCACAGTCCCAAGGGTGGGGAACTCACTCCCTGTACTGCTGGTGCAGCGGCAAACGGCTCTTCATCCCTCCCCTGTCTCTCTCTACCCACCCCCACACTCCCCACCCCCCCACCCCCGTTGTAGGCGAGACTCCCAAGTGTCCTCAGTAGGGAAACTGAAGTCGGAGAAGGGCAAGGGAGTTGCCCCAGAGCTCCTCCTTCCTCTCTGGTGAAAGCTCAGACATGCAACTCTCTGAGCAAAGTTCCTGCTCTCTTTTCTTCACAAGCACCTTCGCCTGGCCGCCCAATCAGCTGCTGCTGCAGCCACCTTACACTCCAGTGCCTGGATAGGAGTACACACGGGTTGCTGACACAGTGAACTCCTTGAGAGCAATAGTGGAGTGGGAGGACAGGGTCCATGGTACACCAACCTGGCTTGGCCAATGCCTGGAATCTAATCTACCCTAACATATGGAAGTTCTTCCTGCCATGTCTGGAGCCGCAAAGGAAGTTCATTTGCTCTAGCTGGGTTTTCAGTGGATTTCTAAGGAGGGAGGCAGGGAACAACCATATACTGCCTACTGCCTACTGCTCACCAGAACATCAACGAGTATGTGCCCAAGTGGCATCCCATGAACCCTCACATAACCTAGTCATTTAGAGATTAGTACACCTATGTACAGCGTAGGAAACTGAGTCACAGAGAAGGGCACCAACCAGAAAAGGCAGAACTGGGTTCCAGCAAGTCTCGGTGTTGCTTAGGGAACAACACTAAGGATGTTTCTGTAAGGGTGTGAGTGGACCAGAGCTGATGGCCACTGTGAGAGGTCTTCCACCCACCTCAAATCCGAGAACACCGAGACGCAAAACACTCACGCATGCGCAGTCCAGGTGGCCATCGGACGGGATGAAAGCAAAGCAAGGGGAACTGTCCAGGGATAGTTGCCCAAACAAGTTCCGGCTCCGCCTCTATGTTAATGACATGCAGATATATGTAAATTTACACACGCAACTGCTTAAACCTTTGGGAGCAATAGGGTGACACAAGAGCAGTTGCTATGGAAATTCAAAAGAGACATTCTCCCTCCACCCCCCCCCCCGCACCAGCAGGCGCAGACACGTGTATAAAGACCCAGGGTTCCTCGCTCTGGAGCCCAGAGGATCACGGAGTAACAGAGGGTGTGAACCGGAAGGAGCCCGGGAGAGTGCGCCCAGCCTGGAGTTGCCGACGCGGGTCTCGGTTGGGGGCGGGTGGTGTCTGCTAAAACCCTTTGGGCAGCCGGCGACTCCTCGGCCTAGCAACCGGGGCCCCGCCCGGCGTTGCATAGCAACAACCCTAGAGCCTAGCAACCGCCGATCACACCCCCTAGCAACGTCATGCCAAGCTGCGTTCCTGGCCCCTATCAAGAGATAAGCAATGGGCTTGTGAACTAGGAGCAGAAGGTGGATGGGGGTCATATGTCCAGCCCCCACCCCGAGACAGATTCAGGATTGCGGAATCCATATATATATACCCCGCCTCCCAGGGGCGAGTTGTCAGAAGGCGGCGTTTGCACCGCAACCTAGAGAAGGGTGAACTGAAACTCTATAGGCAGGCCTCGGCGGTGGGCAGAGGCTAGCTCTTCTCCAATGCCTCTTCTGTCTCCCCAGGAGAAAGCTGCGGCCAGTGGAGGTGTGCGCCGCGGTGTCCCCAACCCCGCCGCGGCAGGAAAACCACCCAAGTTGCAGGCTCCAAGAGAAGGTGCAGGTTTGCATAGTAATTTACAAAATTTGCATTCAGCGCTGAGGCTGCGGCATTCCCGTGCCCTCTGAGCCACAGGATTTCCCTCAAGAGCCCCGTTCTTTTCCCTGGTTCATCTATCCAGAACCTTCTCTATGCTCCCACTTACAACCCACCCTCGCCCACCACCCCCGCTTCCAACCCCTCCCACTTTCTCTCACCCGCCCCCAGCTCAGCCTCGGTCCTGCCAGCCTCGACCTCCATCCCAAGGCAGAGGGCCCCCTCTGCTGTCGGCTGGGGGTAGGGCAGCCGCAGAGCTCTTGGGGTAGAAAGAAAGAGGGATTCCTCTTATTGATCATCTCCTCTCCAGAATGAGACATGCTTCCCAGGGAAGCAGGTAGAGCTGGGTGAATCCGTCTGGGACAGCTGGCTCACAAGTCAGTCCCCAGACTCACAGCTGCTATGAGAAGCTCATTCCATATCCAAGGCAAGGCAGCCACATACAACCTCACCAGGCTTGAATGTCTTCTCAGGCCTAGACCCTGGCTGTCTCTGGAAGTTGATAACCTGCAGAAAGCAATCACCTTCAACAGAGACCCACACACATACCTGAAATCAAATGCATATACTGAGAAGTCCTCACAGATGTACACGGTCACAGACACCTAGGGAACACTGGTATTAGGTGCCCCAGCTTTTATCCGAAAGACAAATTATTGACTTCAGAAATTTAAAATCACTCCTGGAGCAGGAGAGAAGGTCCAAATGGTGAAGAACCTATTCACACCAGGATTAGAGGGAGGCAGGTAGCAACTAGCTAATTTGCAAAGCTCTCTGGCTAACCAGCCAGCCTAGCCAAAATGGTGAGCTTCTGGCTCACCCTATCTCAAAGCAGTAAAGTGGACGGTGATAGAGGAAGACACCAAAGCTCTGCTCTGACCTACCTGACTCACAAGAACGCTTGCACGCCATAACTAAATGAACAAAGACAAAGCCACACATTTCACTTTCCTAACACCTATACCTCCTTGTGCCCTTTGTCCATTTCTCAGTCTGTCTTCTCTCCCACCACTGAGTCTTTCCCTAATTCAGATTTTTTTTTTTTGAGACAGTAAAGATTCAGGCATTATATGCTGGCCAAGGCCTGTCCCAGTCATCTGGCAGAATGCACTCAGGACTACCCTGGTCAGTCCAGGGCTCCAGGACTACTAATCTGCACGCAGGTGCAAAGGACCACTTTATAAAAAAGACCCCCACCCACTTACATTCTCTTTCCTGCTGTTCCCCTGGGGCAGACAGGACTTTTCCTGTGTTCCTCTTCTCTTCTGTCCTCTCTCTGTCTCTGTGTCTCTTTACCTCTCTTCTCTTTCCTCCCCCCTCACCCCCCATAAAACTTCTTACTTAAGCTCTGACTGCCTGGCATGTTTGTTTCATGCCTTGGTCACCCTGGCCTGCCATGGAATCCACCAAGGTTCCCCTCATACTTTATCATAACACCTACTAGCAAGAACAAACAGGCAAGAGAGCGAGCTTCCTTCTTCCATGTTGAAGTTGGTAACTGCTGCACGGCACCAGATTCACAGGATTGGTTCCCCCTCCACAGGGGTGTGGTCAGTGCCACAAATGCCTCTGGGTAGACCTCTCACTACCTCAAGTCCTTTATCTAGGCTACCAGCAGAAGGTGTGGCCAGTTTAAAGGTGGCTCTTCCCACATCAAAAGACCTAGATTAGAAGTGGGCCTTCCCACTTCAAAGGATTTAATTAAGAAAAAAACCAAAACTCCTCAAGGTGTGCCCAGCCATTTGGATTTTAGTTAATTCCAGATACAGCCATCATGGGCTGAGCAGTGGTGGTGGCACATGTCTTTAATCCTAGCACTCGGGAGGCAGAGTCAGGCGGATCTCTGAGTTCAAGACCAACCTGGCCTACAGAGCAAGTTCCTAGACAGGGTTACACAGAGAAGCCTTGTCTCCAAAAACAAAACAAGTGAACAAACAAAAAAAAAGGTAAATAAATGAAATAAATAAGTTTATTAGCCGTTACATATAGGATTTCACTGTGTAACACTGGCTAGTCTGGACCTCGGTATATGGAACAATCTGGACTCAAACTCAAGAGATCTATCTGCCTTTGTCTCCAGACTCTGGGATTAAATTCATACATGCCCACACCCAACTCAGAGTACTTTTAAAAATAACTCCAGAAGCCACATAGCAAAACCCTTGTCCTGGGAACAAAATGATGGTTCAGGACCCGAGGTCATGCATTTGTGGAAAAAGAAATTCCAAGACACTTCAAGCCACACTTGGATGGGACTAGAGACACTCCTACATAGCCATCAGATGCAATTCTTATTTTGCTAAACTTTTATTGAACCGAAAACCAACATCAAACAGGTCACAGAACGGATACAAACTGGCGGAGAGCTGACTTGTCTTCCCTCTCTTTCAGCATCAGTAAGGGGATGAACACTCCTGTTCTTTTTTGTTGTTGTTTTTCGAGACAGGGTTTCTCTGTAGCTTTGGAACCTGTCCTGGCACTCACTCTGTAGACCAGGCTGGCCTCAAACTCACAGAGATCCGCCTGCCTCTGCCTCCCCAGCACTGGGATTAAAGGTGTGCACCACTACCCCCTGTCGAGCACTCCTGTTCTGGTGGGTCCAAAGGGTCATGCCTCTCTGGCAAAGGACACTCAGAGCCACCTCCATCTATGGAGCCCAGAGAAGGGTCTAGGACTGGTCCAGGGGGATCTGCAACTGCAGATTCTGCAGAGAATGGGAGGAGGGGCTCCTGACCTGGGGGCCACAGCGAGGCCTGGAACTGGCGACTCATGGTCACTAAGACCTTGAGATGCTGGAGTAGGTCTTGATGGAAACAGGAAGCCCTATGCAGGTGCTGCCCATGGCCAATGCCAGGGAAAAGTGATCCACTTGAATTGGGATGTTGGGGGTAGCTTGCTTCTGGGAACTGCCGTCCCCACCCATGTTCCTGCCTCCCCCTGCCTCTGGGGAGACTCTGCCAAGCACAAACACTTGGAGTCAGGCTGCCCTTGGCCAAGCTCTGCTTTGGGGCCTCCTCATGGCAAGGTGATTCTCTCAGAGTGGCCTCTGACACCCTGTCCTCTGGCTGGTAGCATCTTCTCTCCACTTTTTTGTTGAAGGAGACAGTCTTTGGAACCTTGTTCCACAGAGGGCTGGACATGGCTGTGTCTGGAAGCCCATCCTTAGGGAACAACACCGCTAATAACAGGCTTGTGTGATTGGTTTCAAGACCTGAGGAGAGAAGAAGGAAGGGTCCCAAGACCTGGAGGAAGTCAACGTGGATTTCCCCAAAGCTGCAATGGGTCTAGAAGTTTGATCATGAGAACTTCCTGGCTGTGAGGTTGGAGAAAAACAAGCAGATAAGTGAGCCTGCTTGGTCCTAGATGATCCAGGATTATCTGGCAGAGGGTAGAGCATGTTGGCTTGACCTCAAGGCTTAATGCTTAATGGTAACAGTCTACACCATCCCAGGGGTCGGTGTATCATCTGCCCTTGTATCTACCACAGAGTGAGGCAATGATTTACTATAGAGTGAATGAATGAGAGGCCAAGGGCTGTGGGCTGGGTAGTATCATTGAGGGAGTCCTTGTGGACAAAGAAGGTGTACCTGGACTAGCTGGCAGCTATGTCCCAAGACAAGCTGGGCTTCTGCCCAGAACTGCCTGATGGAGGACATGTCCCTCTGCCTCCAATCCTGGGAACTGCAGCTCAGAAAGGGCTTACAGCTGCTCTTGAGTTCCTAAAGTCCTCGTCCAGATGTGCTTCCCCAGGCCATGCTTAGACTGTCCCAGGCCATTTGTAGACCGTCCTAGGCCACACCTAGACCCTTGCCCTGAGGCCAGGTCTGTCTAAAGCAGCTGCAGATTCACACCTATTCCTCCTGGCTGATGGCTTTTTCAGCCATCTGTCTGCATCTGCCTCTGCCCTGTGACACTTGGGTCCAATGTGGCTCCTCTATTCCAGTGTATGTTTGGTTCTCACCTGGGCCTCCCAGAGGGCGCAGTCTGGCTGGCAGCGGCTGGAAGGCGGGCAGGGGCAGCAGGACCATCTTCATGCTCCGCACAGTCGCTAGACAGTGGCGCTGCCTGTTGTTGAGGTAGGAGTAGAGCAGGCGGTAGTTCTGGATGTCCCGAGACCCATGGGGACACAGTCTGACCACGCAGATGTCCTGGGATGCAGAATGAAGGGGCAAAGGAGCCGTCACCCTCTTGCCCTACAGGAAGGACCACTCAAGATTCAACAGACCTCTGTGAACCCATTTCCTGAAGGACAGTGGTTCCCAACCTTCCTAATGCTGTGACCCTTTAATACAGCTCCTCATGTTGTGGTGACCCCAAACTGTAAAATTATTTTTGTTGCTACTTCATAACTACAATTCTTGCAGTTATGCTATGAATCATAACGCAGAACATAGGATGTGACCCTTTGAAAGGTCATTTGACCTCATGTGGGGGTGGGAGATGCGGAGGGTGGTTGTGACCCACAGGTTGAGGACTACTGTTCTAGGACGTCAAAGAGGGGAGAACTTACCAGGGTCACTGGTGAGCCTGGGAACTAGGTGGGGAGGAAAGGAGCTGAGAAGGAGAGACAAGAAGAGAGTGCCCAAAGAGCAGGCAGTTTACCTTGGCTCTGGCTGGGCACAGGCTATCTAGAAGATCCCAGAGGTCATTTGGAGGGAGGCAGCCTGCTGAGCGAATGACTTCCGGCAGGGCCTAGGGGCAGGCAATTGGTCAGCACCCAGTTTCCCAGCCTTTTAGGGTTGTTTCATTTCCCATTACCTCAGGCCAAAGCCTGAGAAGGGCAGACAGTGTTCCCGACCCTCAGGGACTCCTCAGAGAGCTCTAACTGCCCCTAAAGTTCTACAGGTTGTCCTGGCCAAAGTCTCAAGGGCCCTCGCTCAGTCCCCACCTAAAAGTTTAGCTTATCCATCAGTTATGCAACCATTATTCCTAACCCCTCCTGTGAGCTGAGAGGCCCTAGGATGTTTTCCCAGAGCCTTATGCCTTGAGGAAGAGAGAGCTGTTGTGCTCAGTGTGTCTCAGAAACAGGCTAGTGTGTCATCTGCCCTTGCATGCGCGTAGTTAGTGCAAGGCTCGCTGGTAATTTGTGGAACCTATGGGTGAATTACCAACTGGGCTGAGAAGTATGTGAGGGAGTCCTTGGGAGCAGAAGTGGAGTACCTGGGCAAGCTGACACCTGTCTCCCGAGATCAGCTGGGCCTTGGCCCGGAATTGCTTGATGGAGAACATATCTAGTGAGCCCTCCCATGGCAGAGGGCTGGGCGGGACATTTTTGGACCCAGCAGGCATCTGGAGCCTAGAAGGAGGGACAGGGCAGGGCCAGGCAGAGTTATTCACTAGGGTGTCCCCATCATACCCTTCAGTACCCATTCTCACTGCAGAGATCTGAGCACGGATCCAAGCATGGTCTTGTGCAGGAGGGAACCAGGAAGCTGCAGAAGTTCCATTTCACAGATAGAAAAACAGAGGCTCACAGATATGGGAAAACTTAAGGTCATAAAGGAAGGAGGTTCCTGCAGTGTGCATATGTTATAGCTCCAGCTGGTGGCCTCTCTCACCCATGCTGCTGTCACCTGTCCCTAGCACAGAGCCCTGAAGGTTCCCAGTCCCATACCTGTCCTGTGGTTCCTTGGAAGGTGTCTCCCCAGTCTTGAGCATCTCTGGAGAGTATATAGGAGCTGGACTTGGGGCTTTCTGAATGACATTTTCCTCTTCATTCACAATGGCTCTGGAGAAGCCTGGCAGTTTAGTTGAGGATTTCCAATCTACAAAGAGCAGAAGCAAGGACTGAAATGAGCAGGCAGAGACAGAAGCCAGCGCACAGCCTGATGGCCAAGCCTTGAACCAGCTTCGTTCCAAGGTGATCCGGGGCACAGGCTCGCCCATTCTGCCTCCTTTGAACTGAGCTACCCACCCATGTTGTGACTGATGGCCACACGTGGTTCCAGCCCCCTACTCCTGACGCCCTTCCTGCCTTCCTTGCCACCCTTGCATGTGTGGCAGTTTGAGTCCCAAAAGTGATGCTGGTGCTGGTCTGTGGTGTCCTCCAGGGGGGATGTCAGGGCCTGTGGGCTGTATTCTCGGGGTACCATGGGTTCCTGGAAAGCACGGGGGCAGAGAAGGACAGACAGTAATGTGGCAGGGTAGATCAGGAGTCCTCTATGGGAAGAGGGCTTCAAGAATGTGGTTTAGTTTCTTAAATATGCTTTTTCAATATCCCAAAACCTGGAAATTTGTAAAGAAAACTTGGGAAACAAAAAGATTGAGAAATTATGCCAGGTGGTGGTGATGCACCCACAACTCGGGAGGCAGAGGCAGGTAGATCTTTGTGAGTTCGAAGCCACTGGTCTACAGAACTAATTACTGGACAACTAAGGCTGTTACACAGAGAAACTCTATCTTGAACAAAAAATAAATAAAACTGAAAAATTGTTAATGGAAGAAAAAAAAGTTCAGACAACAGTTGAGACACTGGGTACTCTTTATCATAGTTTTTTTTTTTTTCCTATGCAGACAGTCCAGGGGTCCTTTCTATAATAGCTTCAGTCAAATGGTCTTTGTACCCTCATTTTGCCCACTAATTGCAGTAGAGACATTTCCCTCTTCTCTAGACCCTGTGGGCAGACTATGGGGCAGACTGTCACCTCTGTTGCTAGACGTTTTCCAGTCACCTCTGATGTCACTAGCAGGGAGCCCTGAAGGTATCCTCATGTATGAAGTGTTTTCCTAAATTGTTACAACCTTTCCTTAGGTCAAGTTCTCAGAAGCAGACGGCAGAAGAACAAACCTTTTAATCACCTTTCCCCTCATAATAGAAATCCCTTTCAGTACAGATACAGGCTGCATTCGGAGGGTTTGGAGGGCTCCTCAAAACACTCCTGCCCACTACACTAAGCTGAGTCAATGGTTCGGGTTGCAGAAAGGCATGGAGTGTGTCAGCAATTGCTGTGTTCAGATGAGGTGCTGCTTGTAAAAGGAGCACATGGCAGGTACTCAATGTGGCAAAGACTGCTCTTCTCCTTTGCCATCCCCTCCCTTCCCTTCTCCTGATGCTGTTTGCCATGTTTCCAGTCCCTCTCCAGTGCTGACATTCACCCTCTTGAGGGAATGTTGTGGCTGGAGTGGGCTGGGGAGCAGCTGTGCCCCCCCGAGGGCTCCTCTCTGCACAGGCACTGATTCTTCTTGGCTTGGATATGGAGTCTGGGGTGCGGGGTGAGGCAGGGAGCCTGGAGTTTGTCTTGTCACACCCGCTGTCATTTCCCCCAGAAGGGGTACAACAAATCTGTACCGAGGGAATGCACATAAGCTAAGGGACTTGCTTGCCTTCCACCCATCCGATCAGAAACACACACAACCAGGTGATGACTGACCCATGGAGATCCCAACCAAGCCAGAGCAGCTTTCTGAGAGTGGTGGATGTAGGGCAAGGGGATGGTCCTGCTGACCACAGGACACTAAGATGCCTGTTAACCAAGCAGGGGCAGGACAGCCACTATACTAATCAGGCTCTGGGCAAGATGGAGGCGCCCCAATGCAGGACGGTACAGGATATACCAGGGCATGGAGCTGACCCATCAATGAGAGGCTTAGATATTGGGCCTCCTCCAGGTACAAGGACAAGGCCGGGAGGCCCTCTGGCTGGACTGCCCAGGGTGTGGGGTCATTCCCTGCCTGTGACAACTTCAAGCAAATAAACCCACTAGAAAAGCTGCCTGAAGCCAGAACAGCTAGAGCTGGGGTGACTGAAATGACAAAGCCTTAGTGCCACTCATGTGAATGTTCTAGAGTTGAGCAAGAAGGGAGACCAGCCCTAGGCTGATCACCACCACCTGATCTCATGCCTCAACACAAACAGATGAGATCACAGTTCCTGCTAAAAGTTGAACAGGAGCCTGTAGAGCAGGCAGTGGCCTTGCTCAGGGCCCCACAGGAACGGGGTACCTGTGCCTAGGTCAGGTTGTCCCTTACCATCAGGTCCTCCAGGGTCAGCATCTGGTCCGAGTCCCGTGGGATCTCTACCTCGCCCTTGTGAGTCAGTTTGGAGGTGGGAAGTCTATACAGCTCCTTCTGTTGTTGCTCAATGGTGTCCAGGCCCTGCAGAGACAGGGCACACTCAGGCCATCGAGCACACCCCGCCCCAGGGTCCCTCCCTTGGTGGCTACTCTGCTCACTTAAAAACCCAGCTCCCCCAGCCCCACCCCCAGGTTCCACTCACTGAAGCCCCACTAGGAAGGGCTCCTGGACTTGGCCTTCACCCAGTCAATTATGCCTCTGGCTGCCCCACCCGACTCCGCTCCGGGGAGGCTGTGGTGTCTGTGACAAGTGTACAGGCTGAGTCCCAGATGGGCCATTAATAAAGATTTAAGGATTAGTTTGACTTTGGGCCGCCATTTAGTTGCCCTAAGCCTCAGTTTATCTATTCCCTGGGGATTAAGAACACAGTATTAAACAGCACAAGGAGAAGGCCTAACCTAGCCCAAGATTTCATAGCAACCCCTAGCTAGCTGTCCTTCTCCTGGAAGCCTGTCTCTCCTTTTCGATTGGTGCAAGAAGATAGGGGCCCTGCACCCCCACACCCAGGCAAGTGGGCTCCATGAAGAGGGCATGAATACTGGGCCTTGTACTCAAAAAGGCCCATACTTGGTTCAGGTTCTGTGTTCATTACCTTGAAATTCTTCACATGTGGGCATGCATGTTAGTGGGTGGCTGGATGTATGTGCACATGTGTACAAGTGTTCATGGAAGCCAGAGGTTAATCTTTGATGCCCTTTCTTCTTCAGGAGCTATCCACTTTACTCTTTGAGATAACATCTCTCACTAGTCCAGGCTTGCCAGCAAGCCCCAGGGGTCTGCCCACCTCCACCTCCACAGCCAGCACTAGGGATACATGCTAGACTTTTACATGGATGCTGGAGCTTGAACTTGAGGCTTCATGTGTGTGCAGCAAGCTCCCTACTGGCTGAGCTCCCTTCCCAGCTCCCCCCCCCCCATCCTCAGGAATTCCTAATGGCTTTGCACAGCGGCTGTACCAGCCTCCAAACTACACCGCTGGACACCTCGGGTGCTGGACAGAAACTTAGCTGAGAAAATGGAGTCACTGGCTGGATTGCGCTATTAGCTCTCCTGGAAGAGTGCTTACTACCCTCTCCTCATTCTGGACCGACTGTCCACCAGGCATTAGGCCAGCTCCCAGAAGCCAGCTCCATGCCACCCCTGCAGGGCAGGGTCCATGAGCAGGGCAGGGTACCGGAGGGTGGGGGAGCTGTGGGACTCCCCCTCCCCCAGCCTGAGGTCGGGATAGGAAGAACACTGGTGACTTCCTAACGGGATCCGCCCACTCACACACAGCCCAACTCCAGAGAAAGAGGGGTGTGGCCTCTCTTCCTACCTTTGTCCTGGGTGACTCCCCCTCTGGCCTGCTTTCTGTTTTCTCCAGCTCCTTCTCAGTCCTGACTGTCCATCTGTCCTGCTTCCTCTGCTCCCATCTTTCACTGCAGGGCCATGCCCTACCCACGCCCTCCTACCTCTTATGACTTCTCTATGCAGCTCACCCTTTTTTTTTTTTTTTTTCAAGACAGAGGTCTCACTTTGTAGACCAGCCTGGCCTCAACCTCACAGAGATCCTCCTGCCTCTGCCTCCCTGAGTGCTGGGATTAAAGGCGTGTGCCACCGCGGCCCAGCACAGCTCACCCTTCTTTCCTCCTGGTCCCGCCAGCGGGACAGCTCCTTAGGGGCCAGCTGGATTGAGCTCATCTGCACCAGGTCCTGAGGGCTGACGTCACAGTGAGCCACTTTGAGAAACAGGTCCTGTGGGGAAAGAGAATGCACCATTTCACCCAGAGAGCACCCACTGCAACCTGCTGTCTTCTCCTGGTGACCTATGGGAGGGCTTGGCAGGCTGAGCATGCCCAGCTCACGGAGTTTCGGGGATCTTTCAGGTTGAAGAGCAGGCTGCGGTATTTAGTCTTGTAGCGGGTGTTGGTGTCCTGGGTCAGGTGGAAAAGGGCCGCTTCGATGTCCTCTGCAATGCTGGCTACCTCTTCCTCCCTCAGCAGCAGGTCCGGAAGCTCCTGGACACTATGGGGATAAGCAAGCCCTGAGCAGGGAAGCTGTCCACTCACTTAATCCCAGGAAGAAATGCAGGGGCAAGGGACCTTCGTTCTACTGTGAATGTCTCCCCATGGACCTGGTGACTAGTACCCCAGCTCTGTGCAGAAACTGTGTATCTTCCAATTACACAGGGAGAGTTAGGAGTTCAGGGCTCACCCTAAGGCTGCACCACGGACCAGTGGCAATACAAGTGTCAGGCCAGGCTCTGGGTCTGGCTAGAGGAGCTGGGTCTTTGTGGAAAGGATCAAGCCTGAGGTTGGGAGTTAAGGAATCAAACAGAGCAAAGAACCAGGCTTGGGTGGGGGCGGTGAAATGTCAACCAAGGGAAGGGCAGACATAATCCTAATCTACTAGTGACTTGCTGTGTGGCCTTTGCCAACTCCTGACTTTTCTGAGCTTGATCTCACCATCTGTAAGTGAGAACCTTGGGCTCAGCCCAGACCCTCACTGCAACTGAAACCATATATTACACACAGCCAGGTTTGACCTCACTGTACCAAATGTGTTCACACACACACACACACACACACACACCCTGGTCCAGAGCTACACGGGATAGCTGTCAGCACATCTGGGAGGTAGGGAACAAAACCTTACCGAGTCCATAGCACCTCCTGCATAGTTCGGACCACAGTGGATCGCACTCCAACATCCAGAGACATAGTGTCTTGCTCACCTAGGGTAGGGGGACTGTGTCATGCCATCCCAGGGGACTTTAAGGAGCATGAGGAGAGGCAGATTGGATCCCCTCAAAGACTTAGGACTCCAGGTCCTTTAGAGGAGAACTTTGGGCTGGTGGTGACTGAAGAAAAGGATCCTATCCACCCCCTCTTCCCCCCAGGCTCTGTGGACCATCACCTGGGCCCTCAGTCCTCTGCTGAAGAGGCTCCTCATTCTCAGTTTCCATGAGGTCACACTGTGGAGAGAGATGAGCATGGCAGAGAGGCCCACTCCATCCAAAACTGCCTTGTGCCAGGAGGGGCTCCCTTTACCCATGGCTATTCAGCCTCTGTGGAGAAATTCCTAAGGAGTGAAGGAGGCTCCTAAGAGCGCTCCATGGTCCCATATCCAATAGGTGCCTGGGAACCCTGGTGCAGCAGGACATGTGGGTCAGCCAAGATCACAGCAGAACCTTTCCAAACACAGCGGAGGCCCAGCGCCCCGACACCCCCAAACTCCCACAACTAGTAAGAAGAGCATCCAAAGAGACCAGGCCAGCAGTGAAGTGGAGCTAACCTACCCACAAACACCAGCAGGTCACCCCATCCTGCACCTCAGTGACATCATGTAGGAGGTACCCATGGAGTCAATATTAATCACTAGCCCCTAGGCACGGAAGCCAGCTGTGTACCTGGCGACTGGCAGAGGGAGAAGTCATGGGCCGTCTCTGCCTCCTGGCTGAACTGGTCTTCATCAAGTCCTCCAGAGTTTCAAGCTGTCCTCCCGGCTGGCTGTTGCTGAAGGCTCCCAGGAGCTGGAGCACTGGTCCAGAGCAGACCTGCAAGGATAGAGCATGTCAATTAGTAACCGCCTTTGCTTCAACTATATAATGTCTCCAGCCTCCACCAGCCAGTGACCTCCATAAAAACAGGGTCAGTACTATACCCCCAGTGTCCACAAAGACCTGACACATAGTAGGGTTCACTAAGCAACTACTGCCTGGCCAGCCTCTGTCCCGTGAAACAAAGCCACCTGTCTCTGTACTCCCCTCTTTACTTCCCCTGTGACCTCCCAGGCTCCACACTAAGACCCTGGTCCCCTGCTCCTGCCCTCCATTAGGAAGGACACACCTGCCCTGACTCCACTTCCCTCCTCCTCACGCCTCTTTCAGGGACTATCTGTGAAGCCAAAGCAACCACCACAATGGACTGTCCCTGAGAGAATTTCCTTCATGGCTATTTAAAAGTGATGCGTAGTTTCAACATGTCTGACCTATTGCTCCCTTTTTACCACCACTGACAGGAAACTCAGTCTTTCTTTGGAGCTTAGAAGGTGTCCCTTTTCAGGACTGGTAGGGGAGGGGTGAGGGCGTTGTTGTACACGATATCCTTGTCTTGTTTCCTTTGGACTTTTCTCTCTCTTCATAAAGTGCATTTTACATCTTTTCAGTGTGTTACCAATCACAGGAACTGTGTTGTGTGTGCATGCGTGCGTGTGTGTTGGGCTGAACTGTTTGAGAGAAACCGAAGTCTAAGCTTCAGCATCCCTCAGGTAAGTGGGGGGGCAGCCCACCCACATCCCAGAATAGAGGAGGATGAAGGCCAGTGATGAAGAAAGAACACCTACGTAGTACACGAGCTTCACTCCACAGGGCACTCTCCCCTCCTCCTTGGAGAAAAAATAAAGAGGGCACAGAGATTAGCATCCAGAGGGCCCAGTAACCCACCCCACCTGCAGAGAATTCACAAGAATGGTGTGCTAGCTAGGCTGGCGTTTGTAACAAAGACCACTAATCGGGGCATTGATAACACATTATGACACACCCAGACTACAAATTCTATGTGATTATTAAGCAGGGGAGGGAGTTATTTAAAAATTACTTGCTCCTGGGGTCCTGGAGGATGACACCCTGCTTGAACAAACTGCTAGAAGATGAGGAGGTCTACACTATGTTACCACTTGACAGACAAGGGAACTGGGGTTGTGATCGGCAACCGGCTGTAAAAAGTCCTATGATACTGAGCTGTGCAGTTAATGTTGGAACTTAATTCTCCCTGATTCCACAACCCCAGCCCTGCACTGTGCTGCTATGTGGAGCTGTGGAAAGATCCATGGGAGGACGTCGTGATGTGTTATTGGGAGAAAAGGGGGAAAAATAGGTTAGAAAACAGTGTCTGTTGCATAAGCCCATTTATGTAAATATATATTTATAGATGCAAAATAGATGTTATCTCTAGGGAATGAATTCCAGAGAGACTTTTCACTTTCTACATGTGTACACTTGGGAATTGATGTTATTCAAAATGAGCATGTATTTCTTTCATAACCAGAAACATTTTTATTAAAAAGCAAGTGCAGAACAATATATGTAGCATGCTACCATTTGTGTTATAGAGACAATGAATTTTTAAATGTGTATTTGCTTGACTACACATAAAATATATCTGGGAATCTCTGCAAATCCTAATAGTCCTAGCTGGAGATGGGAAAGGCACTGGGTGCTGGGAGAGATGCTCTGCCCTTGGTTTCCTTTTCAAACCATGGGATGAATTAGCCTTAAAAAAAAAAAAAAGTAATTGAGAATGAGGGAGAAAAAAAGGGAGACGGGACATGGGGTTGGGGAAGCCGGAGAGGTGCTAGTCCAGGATTTCCGCCACACTGACAGCCTTTGGCTGGCTCTGGACTCAGGGGTCCTTCCATGAGGCTCAGTCTTTGACACAGCAGCCAGAACACAGAACAGGACGAACGTGTAACACAGTCAAAGGGAGAGAAGAGTGGAAGGGAAAAGATGAAGACAATCACCGTTAGTTGGAGCCCAGCACAATTTCTGGAAATGAAAACATAATTAAAATAAAAAACTCAGTGTATAGGTTTAATAGCCATATTAGACACAGCTGAAGCCAATTAATGAGCTGGGAGATAGATTTCAAGAAATTACTGAGAATAGTCATAGCACAGAGACTGCGGAGCAAAGTCAAGAAGATGCGAAGGATAGGAGCGAACGGGACTAATTAATCCAGCTAATTGGAAGAGAGGAAAGGAAATTTGGTGGAAGCAACACTTGAAGAGTACACAGCTAAGAATTTTCCCAGAACTGATAAAAGATAGCAATTCACAGTTTTAAAAAGTTCTGGAGTTCAAACAGGAAAATTAAAGGCATCTCACACCTACCCCATCAGTCCCCAGTAATAAGGGAATTCAAAAGCATGAAGACAGGGGCCAGGGAGGTGGTTCCAGAGCTTTTCCAGAGGACCCATGTCTAATGGCTCCCAACTCCAGCTCCACAGACAGTCAATGCCCTCTCCTGACCTCCAAATGTTCTCAAGCATAAATGCACACACACACACACAGACACACACACACACACACACACACACACACACTTTAAAGGGGGAGGGGAGTGTGCTAGTCAGATGGCTCAGGGGTTAAGAGTACTTAGTGCTCTTGCAGAGACTTGGGTTCAGTTCCCAGTACCCACATTAAGCAACTTGCCAACCACCTGTAACTCCAATTCCAGGGGACCTGACACCCTTTCTGGCTCCACAGTTAGTAGACACATACAGTGCACATACAGACACATAAGTCTTTTTTAAAAATTAAACACATAATTTTAAAAATCAAAAAGAAAAAATAATGGCAAGAACATTAAAAAGGTCCGCTACTGCAGAGAATGGTGTGGGTGCCCTGCACCCCCTCCTCCATCCTCAGGTGGGCACTGATACAGTTATCAACACGTCGGACACAAGAGGAAACTGAGGCACAAAAGGCAATTAGCTAGCAAACCAAAGATCTGACATTTAAACCTTAAACACGGCCAGTCTGATGCTAGAAGTCACTACCTTCACCCACTGTGCTACGACATTCACTAAATGACACTGTGCCTATGAAGGGAACAGGCAGTTAGCCAAACAGCTGGCTCCCCAGTGTCAATAAGGAGAAGGGGAAGACAGCATGATATTATTTTCAAATAACGCAATCATCCATAGTCCACTGTAGACCAAGGCAAATCCTTTTTGAGCATAAAATGAGAAGAGGCACCATAGAGAAAAACAGAAGTTGCTTTTCTGGATAATTGTATGTTACTCAGAAAATGAAATGTGCTTAAGGCAAAATGAACCAAAAAGACCAAAACTTTTTAAATGCTAAAGGCTGGACCTGAGTTGGAAGGAAAGACAAATTATCCCACATAGGAAAGACAAGCTGCAGTGAGAAACTTTGAGCCAAGAAAAAGAAAAGTATTGTGTTGAACCTAAACATTGTCTAGAATTACAATGATGGTGTGTAATTTTGGGGATTAAAAGCGTAAGAAAGGACCAATTTACCGGATAACAATAGCACACAAACTGGGAAGGTGCGTGTTTGGAATTAAAGCATCCCCAGGCCTTCCTACCATTCATGGGAAGATGTATCCTTTGGTAAGTAAATTCTTAGTGTTGAGATTCCCAAGAGGGCCACTGAAAAGGTACAAGCAGGGCACAGTAAGATGGGCAGAACTGTAGTGAGGTAGTCCTTCTGTAGCACTGACCACGCCCATTTGGGGGTGGAGCGATGGGCGGAGGTGACCTGAGGAAGGAGGTCGGAGGGGGCCAGGAAGGCGCTCTCTCTTGCTGGCGTGACTCGGACAGGAGAGGATCGGGTTGAATTTCCTGGTGTTCATCTGTCTAGGTTGTAAGTTATTTCTCCCTGAATAAACATCTATTCGGCCTATTTGTTTATCCTGATCCTTATTTACCGCAATACAGAACAGATGCAGATAAACCAGCAGTTGCAAGAAGGCACTCAGGTATGGTAGCAAATGCCTGCCATCTCAGACGCTGAGGCAAGAGGACCATAAGATAGAGGCCAGATTAGGCTATATAAAATCATGTCTCAAATGAAAAAAAGTAATACAAGCCCAGCTGTGGTGACACACTCCTTTAGTCCCAGCACTCGGGAAGCAGAGGCAGGCGGATTTCTATGAGTTCGAGAAAGACCAGCTTGATCTACAAGAGCTAGTTCCAGGACAGGCTCCAAAGCCACAGAGAAACCCTGTCTTGGAAAACAAACAAACAAACAAAGTAATACAAAGGTGAATTAATATTTCAGATAGTTACAAAAATTATCAAATTTTTATTTTAGTTATTTATTCACTTATTAGAAAAGATATTTATTTGCTCCATTGCAAGGAGTGCAGCAGGTAGGGCAGAAGAAAGAACATCCAGCCCTATGATGGTGGTGCATGCTTTTAATCCCAGCACTGGGGAGGCAGGCAGATCTCTGCAAGTTCGAACCCAACCTGGTCTACAGAGTGAGTTCAGGACAGCCCAGGAAAGAAACACTGTCTCAAAAAGTGAAAGAAAGAGAGAGAGGGAGAGAGAGGGAGAGAGGAAGGAAGGAAGGAAGGAGGAAAGTCAGTCTAGTTATGAAGTAAAAGTGCTATTTCTAAAATATAATGATGAAAAAAAAAGCTGAGACAAAAATGGGATAACATGCGAGCAGGCATATGCAAGGCACAGAATACTGGAGCAATATTAACAGCCAATGAGAGACTTCAGAGCCAGAATAACATAAACCAACATCTTCATAACTCATGGATAAGCACAGAACTACAGCTTGAAACTTAAAAGCATCAAATAACATAATCTCAGAGGCTAGGAAGCGAAGGCTGACAGAACCACAGGGAAAAGACAAATTCCCCAAGATAACAAACACGTATTGCTGAACCAAGCTGACCAAAAAAAAAAAAAAAACTACCGACTGCTTTAACCTACATAGATAATATTGCCCCTAACAACTACAGGGCATGAGGGCACGCACTCTTCAAATATAATATACATGTAACATACTGAATATACTGTA